AATGATTTTGGACCCAACTCACTCTCTCTTTTTCTTCCCACTAGATCGGGACATCTCAGAAGACATAGCAGGAGAGTAGAAAAGCCAAGAACGAACAAAATACCCGTTGCAAACAGGTTCTCACACCGATTCATCAATACTTGGAACCTGCTGCCTGAAGCAGTGGTGTCCGCACCTTCAATCGACTCTTTCAAGAGAAGAATGGACACTCACAGAAGCATACTAGAAAAGGAATGACTTGGGCCTTAGTCCCTCTGTCCTTACTACACAAATCTGAAATGTGAAATGTGACTTGATCGTTCACTTATTGTTGTAGTTAGGTGGATTGTAGGGCTCGAGTCTAAATGCGTCAACTTATAGGTGTTCGTCATCGTAGAATTCGCATCATTTAAAGCTGAATTTGCATTGAGAGGTAGACCGAAATATTCGTCTCTTCCATCAATACTCAGTAGATAGGTTGGAGATTGTGATGCTATTGCATGATCCGGCAAGAAACTATGATAAGTATCATACAGGACTTCATACTTTCCTAAATAAAGCGCACCTCTGCCTGCAGAGACAAGTGGAATTTTTATAATCGAAATAAATCTTCGAAAAACCATTCAACATCATTTTGAATGCATTGGAGATCGCTTATCTGACCTTAGTTGAATCCAAAATAAAATCAATTTCAGTTTGAAAAGGACAGGAGGCTTGATGGCCTGTGTTAGTCCTGGCAATGGTGGTCTCTCAGTTGATCCAACTTTTTTTGATAGAGTCGACGGATGGAGCCTATACCACGTGCTGAGGTAATGAATTCCACTCGTTGATGGTTCGATAGGAAAGTCAGCTGACAAGTAATTTGATCTGGGCTTGTGAACGTTTTTGGAGTGTCCTCGTAAATTCTGTCTTGGAAGACAAGAAAAATGAGGTTATATCATGTGCAAATTTATCATTAAGCAATTTCAAAACTGTAATCAAGTCGCCTCTAGTTCTGCAATATGACGACGGGAAAAGGTTCAGCTTGGCCAGTCGAGCATCATACGGAAGCTTCGCTATTCCGGGAATCAGCTTAGTTGCTGTTTTCCGAACACTTTTCAAAAGTTCACTGTCTTTTTTAAATAGGGGCTAAACGCTTGTATGGAGTACTCAAGGTTAGGACGTACGAACACTGTATATAAAGTCAAAAACATCTTAGCGTCGACATGACTAAAAGCCCTACGTATTGACTATAACGTTCTGAAACCTTTGGCGGCTATTGCACGGCAGTGTGCAGTAATCTTTAAGTTTTGGCTAACGGTGACTCTGAGTCATTATATGTCTGGACGACAGGTAGCTCAGTGTTATTCATCGTGTATGTATCCGTACCTTGATGACCGATATGCATCACAACACACTTGGAAGTAATTATCGGCAACTGCCAGGTTTGAGATCATTCAGATAATTTCTTCAGGTCATTTTGGAGTACTAAGCTATCGTTCTCCATATCTTGACATCGTCAGCATATAACAAGACCGATGATGATAGGAGACGAGGAAGGTCATTTACATACAAGAGGAATAGCACTGGCCCCCAAACTATACCCTGAGGCACTCAACTAAGCACAGTTTCCCAGCTAAACAACTTTTACTTCACCCGTACTTTTTGTGGGCGCCCAACTAGGACTTCTTTTATCCACATCAGTTGTCTCCGATTCTGACATTTCCTAGCTTATATAAAAAACGGTTGTGTGGAACTTTTTCAAAAGCTTTGCTGAAGTCAGTGTAGACTACGTCAACATGTACCTTTTGATCCTTAATAGCGCACCAGCTTTAACGAGCAATTAATAATCTAGTAAGACAAGAATAACCTATTCTGAAACCGTGCTGCTTCTCTGAAAAGATCCGGTTTTCATCGAGGTACTTAAACAGCTCCTTCCAAATAATCTTTTCTAAAATTTTAACAACCACACCAGTTAGGCTAACGGGGCGGTAATTCTCAGGTTTATGCTTCGTACTTGTTTTGAAGACAGGACATACTATGGCGTTCTTCCAGTCTTTTGGTAAACGACCCTGTGTTACGGATAGGTTAAAGCATGTACTTAAAGGGCTTGCAACGAAGTTAGCTAATTCCTCTAGTAGCCTAGAATGCAATTCATTGAGCCCCGTGAATTTACCTATGTCAAGCTTATTTAGCGGATCAAAGACATAGAGTTCTTTAATGGCCACGCTATCCAGTGTATGTGTGGGGGGATTTGTATGCGATGACGGGAAGGGTGCTTCTATGGTGTATACATTGCTAAAGTAGTTCGAGAACACTTGGGCCTTGCCAAAGTCGTCCTGCACTAATGATGCGGCAGTATTGTCTCCCCATAGAGCAGGAATATTTCCTCTTCTCTTTGTTCTTTGGTTTATATAAGAATACAAGCGTTTAGGACATTCTATGGGTTCCTTAACAAGTTTTTCTTCGTACAACTTTCTAGACTTACGGAGGGTCGAGGCACAGGTATTCTGAGCTTTTGGATACTGAGATTTTGTCCCATCAGTCCCCAGTAACCTAAATTTATCCTATATTTTTCTTCTCGTATGGAGAAGGATGCAAACCTCCCTACTGAACCATGGTGGGGAGATTCTCGGCCCCCTTGGTATAGTTCAAGGGATGTGGGGTTCGGTAACCTGTAAGTATGAATTTCGAAATGCGTCCCAGGCCGTTTCGACTGAGGACTCTGGGTCTATTGTCCAATCTACTGACGATACTGAGTGCATGATCTCTGGTATGTTCGCATTCCAGACGTTAGGTCTGGCTTAGACTGTCACATGCTCATGACTGACATACATGGAAGTCGAAATTTAGAACTGCGTGATCACTTTTACCTAGGTTTGGCATGTAATGGTGGTTCGCAACGTCATCCTCATAGTGAGTCAGTATAAGATCTAATAGGGATGATTCAGAGTCCGGGTCGAACCTAGTTTCTTCCTTCACATGTTGCACTAGGGTACATGTGATAACTGCACCAACTGGTTCCTGCTCGAAGAAATTATTTGACGATTCATTTCGCAAATCTTCACAGTCTACCATAGGTGCATTAAAGTTCCCTAGGATTAGACATCGACTCTATATATTCGAAACAAAAATTTTATGACCTCATTAACTCTAACGAAATCTGCCACATTATGTTACATATATTCATCCTTCATCGCCCTCTGTTGTATAAGTATGTCAATATCTATAATAACATTGAATTTCAAATATTTTAGGTTGTAAGCAGCTGATGAGAACCTAACGAAATAAAATGAATTCATATTATTCTGCACCAATCTTTGTTCTTGACCTGTCACTGTGATCAGCCTTCGATTTCTCGACTACTTTTATAGGGGCAGGATTCCCTTTTATATCATTGTTATTTCTTCCTTACAACCTGCACCCATTCGTCGACGTTGCTTGGAGAAGCAACCACAGTCGCGTCAAATATACAATGGGATTCTGGACGATTTTCTACGATTTTGGAGGTCAGGTTATTTTCACCGCTAGAAACCGATCGAGCCTTGCGATTGCGGCTTCTAGGCGTTTTCTACTGGATATCATTTAGAAGACGGCGGACAGAAGAAACTTCTTTTCCTGAGTTTTTAGTTAAGACAGGCCTCTTTGAAGACTGTTTTTTCTCCTTTGGTCGGTGTGAGTCAGCTGTTTTAGAATTCACCTGAGCTTGCTTTACACCAATTTGTGTGTCGACAGAGCGAGTACTGTCCGATGTGTGCTGACCTCGCTTTCCAAAACACTTTTACGCAGCATTTACCAACAAGATGGCCTCGGTTAGCAAGCTGTTTGCATCCGAACAGCACTGCTGACAAAGCCATACCCTACCGTTTTTGCTGAACCGTTTGAAAGCCGCAGGCGTTAAATTCGTGCAAATTTCGTGGCACCAGTGTAGTGAATAGAACACGAGTGGAGACAATCGAATGTATTTGACAAAAAAATCCCAGGACTTGGTAATAAAATCTAACAATAAAATAGTAAAAACGTAATTTGCAAAATGTCCGTCATTTGTCTCGAAATGACTCAGACTTCATTGTTCTTGCATTTTCATACACATTGCATTCTGTTTCCATTCTTCGCTCTTCGATCCAATTGTCTCTCTGTTCACAACTAACATCATCTACTACTTCTGTCAATATAAGTAGCACACACCATACCAGCTTTTGCACTCATCGCACCGCATACCGCTTTCAACAGGATTACGAAAGTCCAGACGTCGGCAATTGCTTTTTCGCATTGTCCAGTCATTAAACAGGGGTCTTTTTTAAAGAAGAACTAGATGCAGTTATACTCAGAGTCAAAAAATGATTTATGACCAAAAACGTGGAGAACTGTAGGTTGTTAGAACCAAGAGTACCAAAAGATACAGTGGAAAACAAAGTACTTAAAAGTACCGACGACAAACTAATTTAGAAGCAGAAACAATACTTACAATTAACCTACCCTGGTAGTACTGATTTACTATCCAGAGTGGTAATCACATTTGTTTTTGTGTACTTTAATATTTTTTCCTTTGTTATGACTTACCCTTAACCTGTCTAGTTGACCTTTTAATTTTTCATATATAAATGTTCTTAACAAGTATATGTGTGATCAGACTGTTCGAAATGTATTGCGCAAATATATCACATAATTCTGATAAACTACGTCTTCTCATTGCATTATCGAAAGAAACAATACTTTAATCGAATACTTTAACTGAAATGAATTCCATTAAAGTGAAGACAGTAGCCTTGACACGTAATAAACGATCAAAACAATAGAATTTACACAGCGATGAAAAATATCACTGTCTTTTTAATTAGCGCACTCGTTATATATGTGAAAACTGAGAGTCAGTCGCCTGCCGAAACCCGTGATCAAACTAGGGACATTAAGATTTTCAGTCTAACGCTCTCCCAACTTAGTGATCGACTTATTAAGCTGACGTACTATCATAGGGAAAGGTAACTAGAAGTCATAAGTAATGTAAGAATATTTCTTGTTTTTACCAATTATCTGTGGGTCACACTGATGCTGCGTAAAAGCAGATGGGCTCAAGGTCAATCAATCTGGATTTCCTCCTCACCGATGAACTTGCAACGTATTTGTCCAAGGTTGGTGGTCTAGATATATGCTCTCCAGAACTCAAAAATTCAATAAGTCAAGTACTAGAAAAAAGATCTGTTGTCCCGTACTCAGTTTTAAATGACTGCTATCACTTAACAAAGAAGCTCTCGAGTACCGGCAAAGACAATATTTATCTCCAATTTTGGCGCATTTCTCTAAACACCTCAGTAGTCCTTCCAGCGATAAAGCAGACTTTTAAAAATCAAGGTCTCGATGCTCATTTTGAAGAACTAAGAAATAAGTATAATAACAAATGTTACGAAAAAATAACGAGAGATATTGGTACACCCATGGTCTTTTCAACAACTTCCAAGGCCCAGAAAACTTGCTTTTCTGAACTCAAATGCGCTAGAAAACAATTCGTTATGGTCCTCAATTTTATTGTTATTGTGATGTCCGCCTTTGCGTTCGGATATTTCCTTCCTAATTTAATGCCCTCCAGTTATCCAATATCACTCTTCTCGCGTATTGTCTGTGGTTTGTTGTGCGCAGTAATAGTTATGGTTGCTGACTTTTACTTCCTAATTAGAAATTTCAGTTTATTGGAGAAAGTTTATGGGTGATTCTTAAATTGTAATGTTATGGGAGTTTCAGATTTATTGATAGATATTTTTTGATATCTCGTACAAATTTGTGCAGCCTTTCCAACTGTTTTTTTCTTCGATAAACCTGCGGCCGAATGCACCTTCCAGATTTCCGCTCTCAGTTCCGTCTATCAATACTTCCAGGACAATAAGTAACATGAAATGTTGGTTCTCTAATAACCTTTGTTCTCTGTTATGACTTACTATTACTAAGTAAGAGTTTGCAACTTCAATTCACGAACTAGTTAAGCTCCTACAGCCCAAATTAACCCAATACTAAAATCATTAATACCGTTGGCGTAGAACGCTCTTTCCCAACACAATAAACGGTAGATCGCGGTTCAATATGCTTAAAGGTTGCCAATTGTTGGATAGTACTCCACGAGTGCATCATATCGACATCTGACTTGAGTTTATTGTTTGTTGACATTGTAATAATCGTCTTGTTTTGGGAAATATGTGCCTACTGATGAACTAGGTTTCATGTACACAAGAATGTGAATATGAGAGGTTTGCTGACTGAATAGAAATGCACGACAAGAGCTAGTTATCTAACGGGACACAGTCATACTATGGAACATTCTGGTCACTCCACCCCATAAAAAGACAGCTACTAAGACTGAAAGATATCGAAACTCTATTGTTTCCAAACGTTTATATCTTCATAGAGCATCTGGCGTGCTTACACCTCATAAATAAACGTTAGAGTCAGATTTCTTGTCCATAAAGTTGAATTAATCAATTAGGTTGTAAGTCTAAACACCAAACTACCTAAAATATATCCCACATGTCAGCCTACCGTTTAACTTGCAGTATGTTGTACACACATGTGTGACAACTGAGTTTTGCTTTTTATTATATTCGGACAAGTGATAAGCATGAAAGCCATACATTTGCACGTCCCACGAATAACCTATTCGCTTTCTGGCATTTTAAATACGGTTTTAATGCAACCACAGCTACCATTCTCACTGCATTAATAGGCTTAAAACTGTGGTCCAAGCATAAATACTTATCTGTATTTCTTTCCGAAAGCAACACAATCTTCGTTGTATTTGACACGTCGAAAATACGGCTGATTTTGTTTGCCTCTACTTGTTTCTAACATTTAAAGTGACGATTGTATAACTGATCCATGTTAACTCCACACCTGTAATATAATAACGCTCGTCTACATTCCTGATACCTCCGATTATCATTATGCTGAAAATTTTGGAGAATAGACAATATAAATTGTGTAGAATCCTCCTACTCGTAATTTACGGTATACTTATGACTTTTTTTCCGCTCACTGGTCTTGAAATATCGTCCAAATATCTTAAACCTTATAAAATAGCATATACTATTGCCAAACTTTTACTCTGGTTTTGTGGACCTGCACAATAAACTGTTACACAAAATCGAGGGAAAGTATTTATCTTAGAACAACAGCTCATATATGGAGCGAGAACAAGGAATAAGGCACACTTTGATTTAGAAAATATCAATGGGTTTTGAACTGTAGGTCACTAATGTTACCGCACAAATGTCTTCGAAGCGTCGCTCGTATGTGTTGAAAACACTGAGTGGGCAATAATGAGGTTAGAGTTAAGGTTGCAAACGAAGATGGTAAGTTGGTCAATGGAGTGGTGTATCTTCATCAATTGAGATGATTAGGACATGTGTCACGTGTGCCCAACCGCCCCCTACCTCGATGGGCAACGTTGGTCTAGAAGTAGGTTAGGTGAAAGACAGAAGCGGCCAAACTAAAACTTGGCATCAGCCCATGACGTCATTGATAATTGAACCAACTCATGTAGATAGGTGTAGACTACCTGGTTGGGGTTTACGCATTTAGCATAACCACTAGTGGAAAACGATTGATAAAACTGCCCAGGATCAACTGCAACACGCAAATGCATTTATCTTTCGTCACCCCTTACATCCTTAGCCTTAAAACCTTCCCGTGCCTCCTCTCGTCGTTTCTACTACTAATACTATGACTATTTCCCTTCTCAGGGATGTCCTGATGTTTTCATACCGTCATCTTAATGTGATGTACCAACTCGGACTAATGCACATACGCGCTAAGTCCTATGTTGTGTAGGACTGATTAACTAATTATTGGTAACATGTACACAAGAAGGTGGCACTAAATGTAATACCAAGGACGCAAAATGCCGTACATGGTGCTCCCAGCCAACAAAACTCTAAAGAGTAGTTAGTTTATAATCATATTTTAGTTGAGTAGTCACCCACATAATAGGTTTAATCCCAACCAGCTTTCTCGAGAATTTCGTGACGACTAGTATGAGATCTAATTTGTCCTACAGAAATCCTACCAGAACTCTAAACGCGATACTAAGGACCCAGAGTCAATGTGAATGCTATGGCCAGAACAAGAACAACTTGGCTTCTAAATTTATCTATTCCTAAACATAAAAAACAATTCCATTAGTACAATAATTAAAAGGATTGTAGCCAATAAGTGAAAAGCAAGTTCTGAAAATACTATCTATCAGTACTCCACTAAACCGAGACCCTAAAAGTCATAATCGCTAATTGTATATTGATAATCACTTATAGTCTAAAACACCACTGAGTAACTAGTTGAGAAGTATATATTTGCAAACCAAAAAAGTAAACACCATAGAGTATAAACTACAAATAATTTGAAGAACATCCTCTTTCTAAATGTTCATTATGCAGTAATAACAAGATGAAACAAACTTCTAGGCATAATTGTCTGTATTTGTTCGTTTTCTTCGAGATTATTGTACAATACGATATCCTCGTTATTATGCATCATTCTGAAGTCGATGTACGCTTGTGTAAAAGACGGCGTTCGCGTTCGTATTCCTTCATTCTATACAACTGGTCATTTTCTTTACAATGAAGATATTTATGTTTCTGATCGGAACAGAAAAAAGCTGGTATAGCATGTTCATTTAAGCATTTCCTGAAAGCTAGCAAAAGGTGAGCGCAGTAATCTCGTTCGTAAGGTTTTAGTCTTGCAGCTATCATTTCTTCGTTAGTCAACTAAAAGAAAAAACGTAGTTTATGTTGGAGTTAGTGGATTACAAAAAAAAACTATCAAGTGGCTTCAGTATCCAGATGACAGCATAAGATAGTTATTAGTCGGCCAGGTAGGACCAGGCGCATATATGCCATACCTCAACAACAAGATGAACACCGAATCCATAGACGTAGTTAGTTCACTGGTAGTAATATATAAAAAGGCTGTGTAGAATGATATGATTGAGAGAGAAAGAATTAGTTCGTAGAAAGAAAGGTATAAAGTAATCTCATGGTTAAAGAGAAGACAGAGAGTGTATACACCTACGCCATCGTGATCGATTCTGAGCCAGTCATCAACCATTGGTTACGATAGTCACACGGACCCCAGCCAAGTAGTCTGCATCCACCAACATGTCTAAGACGAGGAGATAGTGACTTCAAACACTGATGCTATGTTTTGGTTTGACCGCCCTTGACTTTCTTCCAACGATCTCCAACACTAATCAGCATTGCGCGTCGTAGTAATCGGTGTTCAGACATACGTAGCACGTGGCCCAACCATCTCGGTCGATGAAGATTCCAAACATCCTGGCACTGTTGTCCAATGCTACCAGAGGACTGTATTTTAGCAATGTCTTCACCAAACAGGACTATGTCATTTGCGTATTCTAAGTCGATAAATGGACCTCCTAGAAGGAGGTCAATGCCCGAAGATTCAGTCGATGAGAATGTTATTTCCAGCAGTATGTCTATGAAGTTGGAAAAAAATGACGGCAGTGGATAGCTATGACGGACACCACTTGAGGCTGTAAGATCATATGACAGTTCGCCATAAGCTCTCACTCGATTAGTAGTTTTCGAGTAAAGAGTCTTCCCAAGGTTAATGCACTTCTGAGGTCCACCTTTTGATGATAGACACTGCCACAGGATCTCGCGATCTACAAGTCAAGGAAAACTATCATTGTCGGATGCCGATAAGCATGCCTGTGTTCTAGAGCCTGACGGATGGTGAATATATGTTCGATACAAACACGAACAGGCCTGATTTTCTCGTGTTTGCAGTTCATGAGTCTTAGTTAGTTAAACTAATCCCTCTATGGTTGTCACAGGATGATTTTAACCCTCTCTTATATATTGGGACAATCAGTGATTGAGACCAATCAGATGAGATTACGTCCAACTACCAGATTCCAGCTAAAATATTAGTCGACCTAATCGCTAAAATTGGACCACTATCCTTAAAGACATCTGGAGTCAACCCAACTGGATCAGTTGTTCTTCCTTGCATCAGATTAGCTATAGCTTTGGGAACTTTAGTTCGAGTCGGGGGGGCTACTTCAACGTTTCATCTAGGTTGTTTGGGAAGGGTGGGTAATTTTAGAGTAGCTGAACTGCTCCTTTAAGTGTTTCTTGAAAACGGACCCTAGTAAACTAGTTCTAGAAAACTCCTTAGCATATAACCTTGTCTTTTATATTGGACACTGAAAAACTAACCCTTATAATATATACTCTAAGTAGCAAAAATGGTGTTCTGGGTCACTCTCTTCATTTAATGTGTTTGTGCACTGTGTTGATAATTTTGCTACTCCGACTTTAACATCCTAAACGAGACTACCTTATCTTCGTTTTGCTGTCTCGCTAACTGAAGCAAAAGAACCATTTTCACAGACGAATATACTGAAGTTAACCAGTGTAATCAACCAAAACAAGCTTTGTCGATTATATATAATGACACTCAGTGTTGATTATGAACTCAAAATATCGTAAAAATGTATTGGGATTTCGTGAAAAGTGTTAATTACCGAACAATTTATTTCAACAGAATTTCCCCTCACGTTGTAATTTTAATGGCATATCCCCAACATCATTTTCGATCGTAAGATAAACAAGTAGCCATCTAATGATTACAACTATGTTTTAAAGGATTCATAATTTCCAGTCAAAATAGGTTTGTAAATGACTAAGTGAATCGCTTATGATAAGTTTGTCCTGCTGAAAAATTTACTGAGAGTGAATTCTATGTTAGTCATTTAGTCTTATTCGATAAATAATGTTTCAGGAGGACATTTTATCCAGTAAAATAAGTCGAAAGTGGCCGTAGGACAATCCCCAGTTAGTTGCTTTTTGACTGTCAAATGAAAGCTACAAACGGATTTCACCACAAACAGTGTCCGGTGTTAGACTAATAGCTTCAGGGGACATAACTGACAAAACTTATTTTAATGTCAGTTTATAGGAGGAGGGTAGCAAAATGCCACATAATGTATTACAGATTATTAGAAGCCCATATTAGTTAGTAAAGCTGTGTACTAATTACTTAGGTACTCAACTTTCGTTATGCAATTACGATCGCTAGCTTCATTCATTTGACATGTGGTCGAGCATCATTTAGGTTAAACGTTATCTTCAAAATAATAAGCGTGAAGTAAATGCTGGTGCTGTCCAGAAGGATAATAAAAGCTTCACAATTAATTCACTCATCATGGAACACAGCACAGTCGAACTACCTTTTAATTTGGGGAATAATTTATCAGACTTTCAAAACATTAACTGAGCTTAGAATGGTATCACATTTGACTACAATTCGGTCTCGAGTTGATAGTTCTTCTGAAAATGTATGTTATAACTAATGATTGAATTCATGAGTCGACCACCACGGAAAACCTGGAAGCACTGGATGGCAGTTTCGTCCTAGTATAGGATGTTGGCGCAATACTGGTTAAAGCTAGATATTAACACAGTTAGATGCCTGTTCAGTGGTCTAGAGGCTAAGCGTTCGCGCACGAGACCGAAGGTCCTGGGTTCGAGTCCTGCTTGTAAGATCGTCGAACACAGAGATTCGTCTAACATCCTCAACTCGGAGAGGCCAGGTTCCACAAGTATAGAGCAAAACTGCTCTCACCAACGCGTTGTAGATCCGACCTTTTACAGCCAGACTAACATCATGGAGGCGCCAAAGATGGCCCAGATTGGCATAAGCCACTCTGGCTTTCACTATACGCACATTGGTCTCATCACTCACACCACCATTAGCACTTATTCAGCTACCTAGATACACGAAATTCTCGACCACTTCTATCTGCTCACCATTCAGGGTGGGTACAGGATAAGAATACTGCCAGTCTTGTAGAAATACTTTGGACTTTGAAGGTGCAAAGCACATACCATACCTACGGACACTGGTTGCCAACTGATTAAGTGCAGATTGCATGCCTTGTGCATTATCGCACAGTAAGACAATATCGTCCGCATACTCAAGGTCGAGAAGTCTTTCTGTAGGCATCAGATCCACACCGCCATTACTTACATCCATCAGAGCTGTTTCCAGAATGTCATCGATGGCAAAGTTGAAGAGGAATGGTGAGATTGGGTAACACTGCCTAACCCCATTGCTCGAATGGAACAATGGAGAAAAGTGGTTGTATGCCCTCACTCTGCCTGAGGTGTTTGCATATAGGGCCTTTAGGATGTTATTAAACTTCTCAGGCACACCCTTCTTCAATAGACAATCCCAGAGAACAGTCCTGTCCAACGAATCGAAGGTGGCCCGTATTCAAGACTCTGGTGATGTACTACAAATTCGCTCTTCATCTGTCACTTCAAAAAGCTTGTTTTACGTGCGCTTATCCGGGGACCCTGTGGCATCTTCGTCTGGTCTTGCTGGCGTTGGTGTCGCACTAAGCGCTAGAGCTGAGGCAGCACTAATCGATTGGATCCCCATTAACAGTCGGTTATGTGCTGTTAGATTAGAAAGTTCCATCAAAGTGAGAAGAAATCGGCGTGAGAAACGATGTCTTTTCGTCATCTCCGCCTATGCCCCGACAGATTGCAGCCCGGATGCAATCAAGGATGAATTTTACCACCAGTTGACTGTTCTTCTCCAGAAAAAGCGTTCGACAGATATTGTAGTACTAGCCGGAGACTTAAATGCTCAAGTCGGGCGTCTAGGCACAGAAGAGAGTCGTTTAGGTGGCCGATGGGGACTCGTTGGTCGCAGGTCAGATAACGGGGACCGTCTACTGCAACTTTGCACAGACCACAACCTGTTTCTGGCTAGCACTAACTTCCGACACAGTCATCGCCGATATGCCACCTGGCGTCCTCCCTCTGCATCTCAATCCTGGGCTCAGATTGATCACATCACGATCAGCTACCGCTGGCGTGGTTGTGTAAAAGACTGCCGCTCCTTTTGGAGTACCTATCTGGACTCTGACCATGCCTTGATCTGCGCCAATCTTGTCTTACTTTTCAGTGGACAACGAAGTGACCGCCAGCAAAGGATTGATATTAGCAAGCTGGTTGCAACTTCTGTTGCAAATAAGTATCGAACCCAGCTAGCTTCTAGGCTAGCTACCACTCCACCGAAAAGTATAGATGAGCATTGGTTGCAATTGCATGACAGCAGTAAGGTGTTTCGCTTGGACAACCAGCATCTGCAGCGATGCTGCCTTCTCACAAGTAAGGAAGGGGTTAGAAAAGGTCGACCCTAAAAATGTCACACCTCACCTTACCTCACGGATTTCTGTCTCCGGCGGTAAGGCCCTTTCAAGAATGGAGCTAACACATTAAAAACCTCCAACGAAAAGGCCGTGCGCGACCGGCCCCAAGCAGTTGTCCCTTGGGCTCTGCGGTCACGCTCCCAGGTCGTTAAGACCAACACTAATCCGATTTCTTTTTCAGGCTCCTCAAGAAATACCATTCCACGGTATGGGCAGCCGGGAAGTGATATCAGCCCTCATACCCGTAACAGCGCACGAGACCAAGTCGGTCACATTCAAATCCTTCCTACACCTCCTAATACCTCTCATCTCCATGACTAACCCTCCTCACGTCTCTTTATCACCTCGCACCGCTAGGGCAAACGATTCGAGTACGCGGAACGCTATTCCTGGTCTCCTGAAACCACGCTCTAAACTACACGTAGGAGCCTTTAACGTCCGAACACTGTGCCAAATAGGACAAGCGTCCTTAGCTAGGACTTTACAATCCCGCGCCATCGATGTGTGCTGCGTCTCCGAAAC